CAAAGTGCCTGCCTGGCAAGTACAACGTCGTGAGTTCGATTCCTGATACCAGAAGAAAAACAAAAAAACAAAGAAACCAAACAGATACAAAAAAAAGGCCCTTTCCAAAGGGCTGGGGATTTAGCTCAGTGGCAAAGCGCCTGCCTGGCAAGCGCAAGGTCGTGAGTTCGGTTCCTGACACCAGAGAAAAACAAACAAACAAACAAAAAAACAAATTTGATGAAGGAACGGACAGTGTTCTAGCTGTCACCAGGATACATGACTTCCCCAAAAGCAAAAACTATATCTTACCTAGACAGTCTTACAATCCATACATAACAGAGCCTCATACATGTATCATAGTCTCAAAGTGTACATATTTGTTGAATTACAAAGGGTTGAGGACCAGGGATATAGCTCAGTGGCACAGGCACCTGCCTGCCAAGTGCAAGATCCTGAGTTTGATTCCTGGTACCAAAAAAATAAATAAATAAAAGGTTGAGTTGTATTAGAGCCTTCATAAGAAATAAAATATGTTCCCTGTTCTTCATTATTATCATTTACAATAATGTGAGTTAATCAAATGGTTATGAAGCATATGATAAAATGTTAAGAGCAGAGACAAAATGATTTAATAACACTATATAGAAGTCAGGAGGTCAGTGGTAGAGTACTTGCCTTACATTTATGAGGCCCAGGGTTCCATTCCCAGCTCATACTCACACGTGTCAGGAGGCCTCCACTTCAGTCTCGACTTGGCTACTAAGCATGTGAACCTGCAAATCTAGAAAGCTCAGTTTTCCCATTTACTACAATGAGGTTTGAGCCAGGCATGTTAGCACACACCTGTAATCCTAGCACTTGGGAAGCTGAAGCAGGAGGATCTACAGTGTGAGTTTAAAACCAGCCTGAACTACATAGTGAGATCTTTTCTCAAAAAAAAAAAAACAAAAAAAAACAAAAAAAGGGGTTTACCAGAACTAGACTGATGATCAGCTCTAACTCCCTGCCCCTAAACAAAACAAAAAAGCTTATTATTAAAGTAAAATACTATGAATATAAAAAAATGCCTTTTCTGAATTGTTTAGGTAAAGGAAAAGTCCTACTCTCTTCCCTCTTTTTACAACTCACCTGCTAGAGGGATCTACTCTCAATGGCTACATAGCTCTAAGGCATTCCTTGGGCATATGCTAATATAGTGCTAAGATTCTTGATTTTATCAACTGAATAGTATCATAAACTCTAAAGCCAGCTTGGCAGAACACATCTATAATCCTAGCACTTGGGAGGATGAGGAAGGAGGATCTTTGCGAGTTCCAGACCAGCCTGGGCTACAAAGTGAGCTCAAGGCCAGACTGAACTGCATAGCAAGACCCTATTTCAAAACAACAAAAAACAAACCAAAACAAAAACTTTAATAGAAATTTTCTTTTTTTGTTTGTTTTCAGACAGGGTCTCACTATGTAGTCCAGGGTGGCCTTGAACCCGCTATTTAGCGCAGGCCAGCCTCAAACTTACGGTGATCCTCCTGCCTCAGCCACCCAAGTGCAGGGATTACAGGTATATGCCACCACACCAGGTTTCTAACAGAAACTTTCTAAGAAAAAAAAACTGTAAATACTTTATCAACTCCAGGTGCCAAGAGTAGAAAAAATTAAAACAAGCATTTAAAATTTCATGCGTCATCATTTGTTGATATAATGTGAGTAAAAGACATAGGAAAAGAAAGAAGCTTCAGCTGGGAAGTTCCTGCATAGGAAGAAATGTAGGAGGCATGGAGATGGTAGGAAAAGGAGAATCAGACCAATGTCACAACCACAAAGAAGATGAAGCAAGGCCCAAAAGATTCACAGACTGTAAACACTGAAACGGAAGCTGGGCGTGGTGGTGCACGCCTATAATCCCAGCACTTGGGAGGCTGAGGCAGGAGGATCCTTGTGAGTTCAAGACCAGCCTGGGCTGCAAAGTGAGCTCAAGGCCGGTCTGAACTGCATAGGGAGACCCTGTCTCAAAAAGACAAAGAAAAAAACCCAAAAAACCTGAAACAGTTACATGCAAGGCTGGTGATATGCTATGAGCTTAAGGATAGAGTCTGGATAGAAAAGAAAGTTGTTTTCCTACAGTACATCCAGCCCACGGACCCGGGCAGATTATTAACACGACATCCCTGATTCTCCTAACAGATCTACATCTCTGTCAAACAAGGTTGTCCACACACAAAGCCAAGGGTGACCTTATTTCTAACTAAGTTGCCTAAGAGTGGGGAAAATATACCACAGGATGATAGTCAAGCTAAATTTTTTTTTAAATGCATAAAGAATTTTAAAAAAAAGTAGGTCATTGGGACACTAGGAAACTAGGTTCTCAAGAATAGTGGAAAATGCTATTTAACAGCAGGGCTAATTGCCCTTTCATCTGGCTATCGATCAGTGTATTGAAATTTTAGTAAGGAATGTGCTATATAAAAGAGCCAGGCTTGGGGCCAGGGATGTAGCTCAGTAGCAAAGCGCCTGCCCAGTTAGCGTGAGATCCTGAGTTCAATTCCCGGTACCAAACAAATAAATAAGTAAATAAATAAAGAGCCAGGCTTTAGCTTCTGTAACCCACATATACAACCTAAGTTTCACCTCAATGTACTTGCTGTTTTACTCCTATAGTGTAACACTATAATCTATAGTGTGAAGAATGCTCAAAGGTAAGGTGACAGCAGGCTGGACAAGGATCCTGTTTTGCATGTCCACATTTCCAACACATTACTGAAAAAAAAAAGTCCGCTTTTTAAAAGAATAAAAATACAGTCCTATAATCTGTAAATTACAAGTCTAACAAATTTCAACTATAAATTATATAATGACGATTACAACCTAAAAAATACTGGTACAGACTTTATCTGGTATTTTATGACATATACAGTATAATGAATAAAAACTAAAACTATAATTTAGAATTTATTTGGAGAAAGAGGAAATGATAAATTATTTTTTATTCCAACCTATAACTTTGATACAGTGTAAGATTTGTCAAACAACTGAAAAGCCTGTCATGGTGGAACATACCTATAATCCCAGCACTCAGGAGGCTGAGGTAGGAGGACTGCTTCAAGTTTGAGGCCAGCCTGGGCTACATAAGTGCATTCAAGGCCAGCCTGAATTACACAACAAGATCGTGTCTCAAAAAAACCAATCAGTCAAAATAATTGTAGGACTCAACTTGTAATATCCTGATAAAAGAAGAAATGATTGGTAAAGGATAAGTGAATTGTAGAACTGTAAGCTTTACCAAATCTACCTTGTCTCAAGACATTAAAAACACAAACAGAATTAAGGAACTGAAATCATTCTCATTTCCTGAACCCAGTAGGTTAGGAGGAACAGTATTTCCTGACACCGGAAATCAGCAAGTCACCCTCACTTTCACAAGTCAGTGGCTGAGGTTACAGTTTTCAAACTTGGGTAGAACATCAGTTTTGTCCTTTTTTTTTGAGACAGGGTCCCGCTGTGCGGTTCAGGTTGGCCTTGAACTCACTTTGTAGCCCAGGCTGGTCTCAAACAACAATCCTCCTGCCTCAGCCTCCAGAGTGCTGGGATTACAGGCGTGCGCCACCACACCTGGCTAGAACATCATTTGTAAGAGTTTTTTATACTGTTAAGGGAAAGTTTTATTACTAGGAAGACTATATGGCACAAAACTATAATAGTGTAGCAGTTCTCAAGCTTCTTTATTTTGGAGTCTGAAAAATGTTATGACTTCTCTTTTATCTCATCTCTCTTTTCTATCAGCTCTTCCCACTAAATCAAATGAAATCTTCCAAGCTAGCTGACAAAACTGGTTTAGGAAGCTAAAGTCTGCAGTGGTCGATATGAACTAGAAGTGGCCCTGACTAACAAGACTCAATATAGCACTCAAGACATTTCATCTAAAGGTCAAAGTGATAGTTATGTTGAATCAAGTCCTAAAAGCTTCTTCAGAACTCCTCAGTTTGACAGAATAGCACACTACATTACCCACCATTGCCCTGAGTGACCTCAGCTACTTCAACAACTGTCTCTATAAAAACATAAACTGCAAAAAGTAATTTTGTGATGCATATCAGTCTTTGGGCCAGGTGTGGTGGTGCGTGCCTGCAATTCCATCACTTGGGAGGCTGAGGCAGGAGGATCATTGTGAGTTTGAGGCCAGCCTGGGGTACATAAGTGAGTCCATGGCCAATCTCCATTACATAGTGAGACTCTGTCTCAAAAAAAAAAAAAAAAACCAAAAACCCCAAACCAAACCAAAACAAAACAAAAACCAAAGTCTTTGGGGGAAAGCCACTAGGATATGATCAATAATTAGTCCTTGTGACTGGCCTTTACTCTGTTTTTAAGGCTAGAAAGCACATATTCAACCCACTAAATATTCCAGTTTAGGATTCTCTATGTTGAAAAAAGATTACATGTTATTTACATTTAATCAAAATACCCATTTTCTTATTTTATGGAAGAATAAAGACGTTAAAACATACATTTATGGGGCTGAGGATTTAGCTCAGCGGCAAAGCGCCTGCCTGGCAAGCGCAAGTTCGTGAGTTCAGTTCCCGGTACGGGAGAAAAAACAAAGACAAACAAAAAAAAAAACAAAAAAAAAAAAAAAAAAACCAAAAACAAAACCATACATTTACTTTCTTGTCATACACCTTCCTATACCCAAAATTACTACTGCGGCTGGGTGTGATGGCTCACACCTGTAATCCCAGCACCCGGGAGGCCGAGGCAGAACTATTGCTTCAAGTTTGAGATGAGCCTGGGCTACTTAGTTAACTGGCAGCCTGAACTACACAGCGAGACCACAAAAAGAAAAGAAAAAAATGACTACAGTGGCGACTGACTGTGCTAACCATTATTTCAGAGTCCTAAGCATCCACTAAGTCGGGCCTTGGTTGCTGATGACTCTTCCAGAATGGGAAGTGCCGTCTAGCAGAGGGTCATGCTGGATAAATAACCCAGTACTGAAAGCATCCTGCTGGCTGGGTCTCCACTTACCCTCGGTGACATCCTGGGGGTTGGAAGTCCGGTCACTGGCAGGATCCAGGGCAACAGTTGCTAGAGAAGTGGTGGCCCCAGACATCTCACTCATAGGCTCGCTACGGCTTGTTTCTGGCACACTTTCCCTGGAGCTAAATCGTACACGGGAACTAGATCGAGAGCTGAGGTCCGGGCTAGTGTCTGACAAACCTGGAATGTCATCGATCTTTGTAGGTGTCACCATAAACCGAACCGAAGCCATCTTTGTGGTGGTTTCTGGAGGATGCATATTTCTTTTCCTTTTTGACAAAGAAAAAGGAAAAACGTTGCAAAAATCTTCCTCCTATGCTAGCTACTTTTGATCGTAAAAATAGACCACTTCAAACTCAATTACCTTAATTCACATCCCTCAAAAAGCCCCAAATGAGAATCCTTCTATTCAAGAATTCAAGAAAACTGTCCTAGAAAATGCACTACGAATAGCTTTAAAAATACTTTTAAGAAACAAAAACGATGCCAATCTTGTGTAACTTAGTTCCTAACGAAGAGCCACCTAGCTGTGTCCCCTGGTCCGGAGCTGAGGGCACAGTGCATGGTCTCACAGCAGCGGGTGAAGCTTTCTCCAACCCCCACGTTCCTACCAGGCAGTTCCTTCCCCAGCCCCCAGGTTTCTTTATCTTGTGAGTGTCCCACAGCTCTGAGCAAAGTGCGTGCAGGCTCACTCTGATCAGGTGAACGAGCGTGGTTCAGATCGCCAAAAGATGCGCACCCGGCCACCTGTTGTGTATCAGGTGAATACCCCGCAGGTCTGGCTGGGAGGAGGTGTGCGCAGAGCCACCCGACGTCTTTGCGGTCGAGAATCCTCTCGGGGCTGGTGCAAGTGCGCACGCATAACGGGAGGAATAACCGCACTACGGCCGGAGGAGAGTGAGGAGGCGGAGGACGCAGGGCAGACGAATTACTGCCTCCGAGAGGGTGCGGGGGGCGCGCCCGCTCTTCCGGGAGGGAGTCCCCGGGTCCGCCGGAGGCTGTGGGCGCCGGACGCCGCGGACAGCAGCTCGGGGTGGCGGCGGGCGGCGG